CCCGCCCCGTGAGGAGTGGCCAGGGACAGGGTGCAGGGTTCCAGCCCAACAACCCCCTGAGGGGGTTCCTGGTAGAGGCTGTGTCTGCAGGATCCCTTGGAGAGCTAGCTCCGTGCTCCTCCTGCCCATCAGGGCATTTGGCCGGGCAGAAGGAAAGAATGGGGCGGAGTGAGCTCTGGAAAGTGGGAAGAGGAGGGAGTGAGGGGAGACCCAGGGCGGGATCCAGGCTTTGGAACGTTGGAGGTTTCCGGCCACAGAGGCAGGGAGGGCCTCAGGGGAGCCAAGAGAGGCGTGGAGAGACACACATCGAGGAACTGAGACCAAGAACAGAGACAGGCGTTGGGAGGAGAGGGACCAGGGAGGAGCTGGGAGAGGTGGGGACCGGGGGGCAAGTGATCTGGGCACACTCCAGTCCCCAGAGACACCCCCTCCTCAGAGACATTTGTCCGCAGCCTTGGGTGCTGTGAGCCCGCCCTGATGCAGGCAGCCTGGCTCCTGGGGGCCCTGGTGGTCCCTCAGCTCCTGGGTTTCAGCCACGGGGCTCGGGGAGCCGAGAGGGAGTGGGAGGAGGGCTGGGGAGGCGCCCAGGAGGAGGAGCGGGAGAGGGAGGCCCTGATGATGAAGGTGAGTGGCTGGGGGGATGGTGGCTGGGACCAGCATGGCCTTGGGAGGGGCTGTTGCAGGATCAGGGAACTGGGCCAGCGGGAGGGATGGGAGAGGCCCAGAGGATGGGGGTGATGGGCTCACAGGAGGGACTCGAGGGCAGTGAGCCAGGTTGCAGCTGGAGAGGGGGTGGTTGGAGCATCTGGGGAGTCAGAATGGGGCGGCGGGCTGGCCCTGGCCATCCCTTCCCTGCCTCAGCATTTACAGGAGGTTCTGGGGCTGCCCACTTTGAGGGGGGACGACAATCTTGAGGGAACCCCTGCAGACAAAGGGGCCTCAGAGACTGAGGAGGGCCAGCAGGAGGAGGAAGAAGAGAAGGAAGCAACGCCGATCCCCTCCTCCAGCCCCAGCCCCTCTCCCACCCCGGAGGACGCCATCACTTACATCCGTGAGTTATCATTAGGTCTGCCCTGCCCGCCAGGCCTCCACATCATTTGCACCAAAATGAACCGTCCTGTCGCTAACGGGGGAAGCTTTCAATTGCTCACGGCCCAGCCCGACTCGCCCACAACCCTGAGCTCTGGGTCCCGGCCTTGCCTCCCAAAAAGGGCGGGGCCACCGACCTTCTAGGACTCCCGAGTCCCCCAACTCCTATTCCACAAACTCGGCCCCCAGAGGCCATAGGTCCCTGTCCCCCCAAGTCCTCTGCTCCCCTGATGCCGCCCCCAGGGTCCCCATCCAACGTGCGCCCTGTCCGTCTGCAG